GATTTCTGAACAGCTCTTTACAGTTGGTCTTCAACATTAGCTCGCCAGCATTCATAACAATTAGGGTGGTGCAAAGCTTTGGTAGCCGATTTTGATTCAGAGGAGATTTGGCTCAATTTGGCAGCCGAATCTCTGAATCCAAATCAAATCAGGAGGCCGATTAAAAGCTCCAAATTGAATCAGAAGCCTCCAAATCGATTTGGAGATTCATCCATAGACTAAACAGGCAGCAGTCCTTAACCACACTGGACACAGCTGCCTCCAGCTGGTAAGTCTGTGGGCAGAGGGGGGAGGGAAGGGGTATGGGGGTGTGGGGGCAAATCAACACCCCCACAGTGAGGGAGGGATTGGGACTGGAGCTGGGACAAGCTGCCCAGCTGGGTGCGGGGGAAGGGAGTGGATTCCTACCACTGCATGCCGCCATGTGCCGCCAGTCCAGGAGGGTACAGATCTGCGCAGGGCGGGCTGGGCTGGGCCGGGCCGGGCCGCACTTCAGATGGGTGGCAGAAGGCACTGGGAGCAGGGGCTATGCCTTCCTGCTGCTCACTCAGCCTCCCTGCGCCTCCTGGACAAGCTGCAGGTTTGCCCCACCCTGTCCTGGCTGGTCGAGCACCGGCAGGGCATGGGGATGGGCTCATGCACCTGGATCAGGGAGGGGGTGGCAGCAGGGGCTATGGGGAATTTTAGGGTGACCGCAGCCTTCCCATATCAGAGTCCTATTTTAGCAAATGCTTATTATTTCTTGATAAAATGGTAATCTCTAGGACACTGCTGCATATTATGTGTGTGGGACTGCTCTATAGATGTATAGAATTGTAAAATGGTGTTGGTGTATCTACTAGATATATTGCCTTTTAATGATAACTGTTATGACACCATTGTATCCAAGATTCTACAGCTTATTGCTGTACTCCTAGGAATAAGTTTCTCTCTAATGCTGTGATATAGTACAATAACGATTGCTTAATTTTAATGTTTAATGGTACCTTCTGTAATTGTCCATTATATGAATGTAAATATTATATGTTCATACTAAGTCTTCCTTAAGTAATTATTGTAGACTGCCAGTAATTTGAATAATAAGCCTCCTGTGTTAGCTTTTTTCAAAGTGAGGGTGGAGATCATTGATGCTGCTCTGTAATGACCCCTCTTAGCAGTTTGAAAGTGGTAATGGCAGCTCCCGGGGAAAGTCATGTCTAGTTCTTCTTTATTGGAAGGATATTTGTAACAGTGGGACCTCAAATGAGGGTTTTCAATGTCCATCCAACTAAAATTGTCTGGCTATCTTCTGAAGCCATGGCTCTATAATTTTTAAAGGCCTAGACTTAGGCATTCCCTCAGTTATGGTCAGGATTACTACAATTATAGGGAAAAGGTATAAACATGACTTTTGTAGTCTCCTGAGGCTGGCTGATACTATAACATACCTTGGAAAGTTCTGTGGATTCCCGGGATCCTATAGCAGCCACAGATCATTGAAGTATGCAGAAGCGACATCTACTTTGCCTTTACCTGGATTTACCTGTTACACTGTAGCAGGCAAGGGACAAGAGGAATGTAGGTCTTGCTAAGCCAGCTCTACACAATGCAAGAATTTCTTCCACTGGTTTGATGTAGAGTAAGATTGTATACAGATATTTATTTCTATTGAGGGAAATTTCTCAGAAGTTTATCAGAAATTTCCCCCAGTGGAAATCTTTCTGGGAGATGGAACAGCAAAGACATTCAGTTTGTAGCCGCCCCCTCTCTCCTATTCTCCATGCCTTCCTGAGATGGGGGTGATTTCAGTTCTGTGAGGAGTGGATCAGCAGGGAAAGATTTCTAACACCTGTCGCAGACTGGGCTTTGAGGAACAAGGTGGGAGAGCAGCTTCCTTCACTCCACTCCTGCCCTCCAGGAGTGGAGCAGAGGGACCACTGAGGCAAAACCCTCATGTCTTACCACTAGCTGCGCAGCATCCAGTTTGGGGAAGAGATTGGCAGCTGCTTCTCTACTCTCCCCTCCCAGACTGGTCCAAGAGAGAAGTGAGTAACAAGGTGCAGCTTAGGTTGTGGGATGTGCCTCACTGCTCCTTTCCACACCCAGACAGACCAGCCTGGGAGAGGAGAGGAACAGTGGGGCAAAGCCCCTCTGCCTGGAGCAGCTACTCCTCCACTCTCCTCCTAGTCTCAGGGAGTGGAGTGGAGGGAGCAGTGGGGCAAACCCTGGGCTGCTTCTCACTCCTGGGACTCTGGCTTCACTCCACTACTCCAAAGAGAGCTTCCCTCAGCCCAATTCTTTGTTTGCCTCTCCCGTCACTCAGATACACAGTGGGGGTGGAAATTTAAAAGCCAGCTTGCTTGGGTGACAGCCTTGGGGAGAGTTTCCTCAGCTCAGTTCCCCCCAGTTGGCTTTCCCTCAGCTCTTCCTTCTCCCCCACCACTCACCTGAGTGGCAGAGGCCAAACAGAAGCTGGTAGGGGACAGTAGTGCTCTTTGCACTTGGCTCCCAGTGCCTGGGAGCTGACTAGAGGGAGCAGCAGGGCAAAGCTCCTGCTGGCTTCTCATACTGGGAACTCTGGTGTGAGAAGCAGGCAGGAGGCTGTGCTGCTCCTTGCCACTCGGCTCCAGTCCTGTCAGCTGGGTGGAGAGAGTAGTGCAGCAAAGCTTCACACACAGGGAACTCTGGTGTGAGAAGCAATGTGGAGCATCTGGCACCCCAATACTGGGGTTATCCTGGTCTTTGGAAGGGACAGGAGGATTTCCTCCAGCTCTACTCCCCCTGGTCCCCAGGAAGAGTGAACCTGGGAGAAAGTGTGTAGACATTCAGGCTAAGTACAGATAGCCAAAAAGGCCGAGGCTGAATCAATTCAGTCTTTGCGGGTTAGTCTGAGCTTTGTGGATTGAACCAATAAGCAAGTGAATAGACATTCACTTTTGATTCCAGAAATGCAGCCACGTGCCTGCAGTGGCCCAGGCCAAAAGCCAAGGGCAGTAGAGCAGGGGTGGGTAAAGTCCAGCCCACTGGCCATATCCAGCCAGCAGTGGACTAAATTTTCCAGCAGCCCCTGCCTGTGTGGCTGGGCCTGGTTTCAATGGAGACCCCAGCAGCAACCACGCTGTGATAGGCGTGGGGATCTCCCACGTGGGCAGACCTTGGCCCAGGGTGCTGGCACTGGGACAGAAGTGCTTTCTCCCCTGCCCCCAGAACCTCAATGACTTGTGCATGCCCAGCCGCAGGAGACGACAGCTCTCGCAGACCACTGGGGGGCCATGGCTGGAGGGGGGCCTCTGTTTCTCCCCCATCCTGCCTTCCTGTCCCCACCAGGCTGGCAGTACTGGCAGGATGCAGGCTAGGGACCAGAGGCTTTGGTGTCTCAACTCTGTGACAGCCCGAGGGTGGGGCTGGTCCCTGCTCAACTGGAGCAGACTGCAGCAGCCAAGGCTAGCCTGCCTGCCTTGGGGCGGGTTGCAGGGAAGGTGCAAAGCATCCTGGGATGTTAGGGGACTGTGAGGTAACTTGAGTTGGGAGGGGATTTGGGACAGAAGTGTGATAGACTGGTTTTACCTAGATCAATTAAGTCTGATACTACATGAATCCAGGTTTATCTTAAACTGGTTTTGGCCATTTTGAAACCATTTTTTATGCACTGAACTTCTGTTCTGTTACAGGTTGAAACTGGTTTCCAGTCATTTGTATCAGTTTGTGTAATTTTTGTCCCTAGCCTTAGTCTTCTGGGGGAAACTCTTTCCTGAGCAACTTTAAGTCTGCTTGTTCCAATGTTATTTTTTTTCCTAGAGCAGCCATTCTTCCTCTGGGAGAAAAAGCCTGAATGTCTATATACTTCTGGTTTCAACCCAGAGAACAGTGATTCTCCTGGTAGAAACTGAGCATCTTCTGTAGCTATAGTCTGCAACTATAGTCACTGCAAGTATAGTCGCTGCAATGACTGCAGCTTCTGTCAGTGTACCAAAGCTAGCCTGAGTATTGGTAGCAATACAGCCACAGCAGCAGAGCATAATCTAGGATAATTGTCCAAGGTCTCAGGCAGCGTTTTAAGTCTACCCTGAGGACTTTGCCACTTCATATGCATTGCTACCAGTACCTAAGCTAGCTACTTTAAAGTTTGCTGAGCTATATCTGTAATGGTTACAATTACTGCAACTTAGATGTATCCTTAGGTAGGCTGAGGCCCCTGACAAGTTATTCACGTTAACCCTTGACGAATGTATTGCATGATAAATTGTAACATATCAAGTAGCCACATGTTAAAATTATTGTGGGCTTACATGCCACAAAGAAGTTGCTGTTTCAACACGCAAGTCCTTTGTGTCTGTTCTGCCATTTTAACCAGGGATAAACTGATTTAACATCTGGTGTCTTACGGTTTGCCATGTGAAACTCGTATATAACTCAAAAAAATGTAATGCCTGCCAGAGGCCTAATTGTTTTAGCTAGTTCGTGCCAGGTTATACTGACTTAAAACCAGAATGCCAGCAATGCAGTTACTTAATGTTGCACTTTAAGGTTTGATATGCATAATGTTGAACCACTCTGGGGTAACATACAGGCAGTATCTGACACTGGCAAGTAATAAAGAGATGCAAGCAAGATATGTAGATGCAAAAGTAGTTGAGTTGCCTGTCCTCACATAAAATACTACAACAGATAACTTCTGCTTAAATAAAATAAGCTCCTTTTTTGCCTTTCAGATACAGCTACATGGGAGGAGGATGTTGCTTGTTTGTTTGTTTTTATCCTAAAGTTGAAGGATTTTAGGTCTGTCTTCCTAAATGTGTAACATCTGCTTGCACAGAGATGACCTGAAACTTTTTTTAAAAATTTTTTGAAAGTATAGAAGTATTGTCCTGAAAGGATATGATTGATTTTAAAAAACCCTAAAATGTCCTGTTATTAATTGATAAATGAAGATTAAGCCATTTAATCATAATTATACTTTGAATGAATCTGCAATACATCAGCATTATTGTTTATAATAAGGTGTTTTGTATGGCTTACAGGTTTTAAATGCACAGAGAGCTGGATACAAAGCAGCTCTAGTTCACAATGTTGATTCCGATGACCTGATTAGCATGGGATCCAACGACAGTAAGTACAGGTATCACTTCTTCTCTCCTGTTTGAAAATCATTCCCACTCATTGTAGTATTTGGTATTGATTTCAGTTTAAAAAAATACAACCAGAAACTTTCTCCTTTAATTGTAAAGCAGAAATCTTTTAATGTCATAACATGTTAGAGACTAGTGTAAATATGAGTTTATACTATTTATGTGTGCTGTCAAATGTATACGATTTGTGTGTGCTGTAAAATTATTTTCCTTTCTTTGTGCTCTCTGTTAAAGTTGTAGCTGAGGTTTAATGAGATAAATGGTTATATTTTTGAGAGAAAAGAGTATGACTATCCCCAAGAAATAGTTGGAAAGGTGTTAGTTTTCTGTTGTTTGCTAACGGAGGAAACCTAACCTGTCTGGTTTGCTAACGGAGGAATGCAGCAAAAATAGCTAGTACTCCCTTGGATGAGAATTCATGACTTAAATATATTGCATATGATCATTTGGAGCAAAAGGCTGTTTTACATGTGTACAGTTCTGTGTATAGCTTTCTGTTCACTTGTATATCTCCATCATCTAAGCATGTATATGTAACTATTCATGCATTTTTTTGAGAATTTTTTGAGGCATTCTTAACCATAAATAACACATTATCACAAAATCCCACAGTTGTCATGGAAGTATCCAATTTCTATTATTGTATAACAAAATTATATATCTAAAGAATGATGGATCCAAAATATTTGTTTTTGACTTCAGTGCTGCTAGTTTTCTTTGTGATATTTTGATCCTTTTCTTCATGTTTTTTCATGTTCTTGAGTCACAAAGACATAAATAAGAACAGGCATGGCATTTCCGAATAAAAACAACTTAATAAACTGAAAAATCACTTTCAACAAACAAAGTAATGGTAAATTATTAGAGAAAACTGTGTGTACTATTCTGTATGGCAGTGTTTCTTAACCTGTGGGTCATGACCCAAAAGTGGGTCACAAGAATATATGAAAGGGTCAAGAACAAGCTTCAAAAAATGGATCAACAAACTTTAAAAAATGGATTCTCTTTTAAAGGAGAAAAATGTGAGTGGGTTTGGTTTGTTGATTCTCTCCCACTTTCGGCCTCTTTTATCCTCAAATCATCTCTTGTTCATTCATTTCTATTTAAAAAGTAGATTGTTTATAGCTGTATCTTCAGGTGGGGTAAATCAATGTGGCTTCAAGAAATTGCCAGTTTAAACCAGCTGAAGATTAAACTGAAGCATGGATAAATGAACAAATTCCAGTAAGCTAAAAGGAGTGAGAGGCTTATTCTGTGTCACCTACTCTATGATAGCTGCTTTCCTGCATTCTCTCCATGACAATTGAAAGCTAAACCATAGTAACGAACCATTTTTCCTTTGATAGCTAAGTTATCTCAGTTTTGCTTTCACTTACCTCAGGGAAAGTTCAGGTGCATGGACTGTTAACGTAGAGTAGCTTATGTGCGGTAAAGTTTCCACAATCCCTGTGCTTCCTATAGTTCATGTATTTGTCTGTACCCCAACTGTACCTAGACAATTTTTTGCCGAAGGATTTATGTCCCTTTAAATCACTTCTTCAGAACACTGAGTTTATAGTTGCACTGACAATGAAGCTTAGATAGTCATAAAGGAAAAAATACGTTAAATTAATAGAATATATATTTATCTCCAAACATTAAGTCTCTAGCAGAGGATGTCTTCCCACAGTAATAGTCTCATAACATTCATGGCTCTTTATAAATTGGTTTTGATTTAAATGTGTGCCCATAGAGGAATACCATTATGTCAAAATTGGTCTTTTATTTCTGCTGCTATATTTTAAACAGTTGAAGTTTTAAAGAAGATTGACATTCCTTCTGTCTTCATTGGTGAGTCATCTGCTAATTCCCTTAAGGAAGACTTTACTTATGAAAAGGGGTAAGTAATGGTTTATCTTTTTATTTATTATTTAAGCTAACTTGCAAAGTCATCGTGCTTTACACTGTGTTCACACCTTTTTCAATCAATTATAGAATTTTAAAAAAAAAAGGATTTTTGATAATTTAGACTATAGCTATTTTGAGTAAAGTTTTGACCTTCTTAAAATTAGTGTAAGTTTAGTTGCTGACTTCCATGGGGCCATGATTTTGCTCACTGTACTTTCAGTGTTAGTGTTAAGATGCTTTACCACATTTGATTTTGTGTTTAAGCAGTTTTAACCTAGATTCTCTGCCAAGAGTGCCTAAGTGATCTGAGTGTCTGAAATTCTTAAATAAAAGCAATCACTAGAAATGTTGGTAATTCTAAAATATATGTCCTGATTGTAATTTTGACTAGTTGATAGATAATCTTTTTGTTTTATTTTTTCTATGAAAAATACTATTTCTTCTTCAGGACTTCTATTCATCTTGTCATCATGAATGGTACTTGGGCCAACTTTTCAAAATTCTTAGAATATATGTGGCCATTTTTACATTCTGAAACCTCTCTGGGTGGCGGTGGAAGGATGTGGGGGGCCATGGGATGTGTGGGTAGCTGTGGGTGGATTGTGGGGGTAATGTGGGGGGGGGCTTCTCAGGAGGGGTGGGGCCCCCTGCCTTCTGCAGGGTGCAGCCCTCTTGCACAGCTCACAGACTGCCCCCAACAGGGGCTACATGGCCCTTGCAGGGGCTACCCCCCCCATGTAGGGTGCATGTGCCCCACCCCCGCTTGCTACCCCAGCCCCCTGCATTGCTGCCCCTCCTGGCCCCATCCCCCAATGGCTGCCCCGCCTGGCCCTATCCCTTGCTTGCACCCCCAACCACCCTGATGGCTGCCCCCCCGGCCCCAGCCTCTTGGCACTTTATTCATAGATTCATAGATGTTAGGGTATGAAGGGACCTCAGCAGGTCATCAAGTCCAACCCCCTGCCCTGGGCAGGAAAGAGCGCTGCAGTCAGACGACCCCAGCTAGGTCCTTGTCCAGTCTCCTCTTGAAGACTCCCAGGGTAGGGGAGAGCACCACCTCTCTTGGAAACCCATTCCAGATTCTGGCAACCCTTACTGTGAAGAAGTTCTTTCCAATGTCCAACCTAAATCTGCTGTCCGTCACTTTGTAGCCATTGTTCCTAGTTACTCCAGGGGGTGCCCTAGTAAATAGAGCATCTCCTATTCCCTGCTGCCCTCCCCTGCTGAATTTATAGGCAGCCACAAGATCACCTTTCAGCCTTCTCTTGTGAAGGCTGAAGAGATCCAGGTCCCTTGGTCTCTCCTCATATGGTCAGAGGCCTGCAGGCAAGGCCCTATGAGTGGCCCTCCTTTGAACCCTCTCAAGATTCTCCACATCCCTCTTGAAGTCCGGCACCCAAAGCTGGACGCAGTACTCCCAACTGCGGCCTGATCAGTGATGCATACTGGGGAAGCATCACTTCCCTGGACCTGTTCATCATGCATCTGCTAATGCATGATAAAGTGCAGTGATGCCTCATGTTCATCTTGGAGTCAGCTATGACTCCAGAATCCCTCTCCACTGCGGTGCTGCTGAGAAGGTCATCTCCTAGCCTGCAAATGTGTCCGTGGTTCTTTTTGTGAGCACTTTGCACCTGTCTTTGTTGAATTGCATCCTATTTCATTCTGCCCATTTTTCCAACCTGTCCAGATCTGCCTGGATCTGTTCCCCACCCTCTGGTTTGTTAACTTTGTCCCATAATTTGATATCATCTACGAACTTGGACTGGGTGCTCTCCACGCCCTCGTCCAAGTCACTGATGAAGACGCTGACTAGCACCGGTCCAAGAACCGTGTGTCTGGGGCAGGGGTTGCTGTCTATTGTTTTTGGCAAACCCCGCCCCTTTCTTCAGGGTCGTCCCCCTTACGACCCACTCAGAGTTGCTCCCTGTCGGTGGCACACGTCCGGACCGCCTGCCACGACTTTGATGATCACCTGGTTCAGTGTTTATTGTCCCATGTGTGTCAGTCTGAAGTTGAGACTCCAGGGTCTTTGGGGTGCCCCACATAGCCGAGGGCTCCGCTGCCCCTACACCCTTGCCCATTCCACCAAAGTAAAGGGACCGCCCATCATGCATGTCCCTTGTCAGTTCGTTAGCACAGATTCCACAACGGAAAAGGTAAATAACAACACAAAGTTAACAGCTAGGGTTTCTCACTCACCGGGGAGTGGCCTGAGCACCTTGATGGCCCCCTGGATGTCTTCCTGTCTGCTGTGGGTGTCGGTGCCCTCCCTCAGGTGCTCCTCGAGCCTTTCAGTCCCCTTCCAGGCTCCCTGGGGACCCTCGACCCCTTTAGGCACTGTTGAGGTCCATTCACCTCTTCGCTGTGCTCCTCTATCAAGGTAAATATGGCTCCCGGCTCCCACCGGGACGAACCGCTCTTCTGCGGTGCCTGCATTTGCAGGGACGGCAACGCCGGAGGTTCCCGGCTCCTGGACCCGCAGGGGTTTCCCTACTCCAGAAGACCCGGCTTTGGTGCTGGGCTACTTCCCTTTGCCCCCGAGGGTTCCAGCTGGCCTTTCCTCCACCGCCACTTGCTTCCGGTTCCTCCCCCCCGGCGGCAGTCGGCATTTCCTTTATGGGGCCCCGAGCTGCTGCGAGCCCCTCCTCTTGGACACATCTGCGGAGAGTAAGTAATCCGTCCCTGGGACTTTGTGCCGCGGGGCGTACTGCGGCTCTATTAGCACCACGGCGTGGGGTTTTAGGGCACGCCAGCTCCGCTCCTTCCCCACATATCCCTGCCCCTCAAGACTCCACTAGGCGCTTTCCTAGTGCCCTTTCGCTCCTTCTCCTCTTTCTTATCCTCCCTTAGTGTTTCGTCTCCACATCTTGACAAGAAATCCATGACGGTGTTGTCCTTACTTGGATTATACGCCACCCAAAATTGGAAAGATTGTAGAGCTAAGGCCCATCTCGTGATGCGTGCGTTGTCCGTTTTGGCTGTGTTCAGCCATCTTAACGGGGCATGGTCCGTGACCAATGTGAATTCCCGCCCAAGGAGGTAAAACCTAAAATAATCCACTCCCCAACGAATGGCCAAACATTCTCTCTCAATGGTAGAATACCCTTTTTTGTGATCATCAAGTCGCCGGCTGGCGTAGGCTATTGGTCGCTCAACCCCTTCCACATCTTGCGATAACACTGCTCCCAAGGCGTAGGCTGAAGTGTCCGTCTGTAGCGTGAAAGGAAGATTAAAGTTGGGTGTATGTAGAACTACATCGTGACACGGGGCCTTTTTTAGATCTCCGAACGCCTGCAATCGTTTCTCAGTCCATTCGATGCTGCCTGCCTTGCGCCCTTTCGTGGTCTCTACTAAAGGGTTAGCCATTTCAGCGAACTTAGGGATGAATCTTCAATAGTAGCTCGCCAGCCCGAGAAATGCCCGCATTTGTTTCTTGTTCGTGGGAGCCACGTAGTCCCTGATTGCCTCGACCTTATCCATGAGGGGTTTTACACAGCCTTGCCCAACCAAGAACCCCAAATACTTGGTTTGTCTCTTCCCTATGGCGCATTTCTTTGGGTTAGCGGTTAAGCCCACCTGTCTCAATTCCTGTAGAATGGCACGGAGGGCTCTTAGGTGCTGCTCCCAGGTTTCTGTATATATTACAATATCATCAATATAGGCCGCGGAGTAGCTCTGGTGTGGGGCTAGGTCCCAATCCATTAGTCTTTGAAATGTGGCCGCGGCCCCATTCAAGCCAAAAGGCATTCTCCTAAATTCAAATAAACCCCAGGGTGTGCCAAAGGCTGTTTTAGGTTGGTCTTCTTTCCTTAATGGAATTTGCTAGTAGCCTTTGGACAGGTCTAGGGTAGAAATAAACTTTGCCTGCCCTATACGCTCGACCACTTCATTGACCTGAGGCTTTGGGAATGCATCGAACTGGGACATCACATTTAACTTCCTAAAGTCCACACATAGCCTTAAGCTACCGTCCGGTTTCTCCACCGCGACTAGGGGACTACGCCAGGGACTGCGGGAAGGCGCAATAATTTCTTGCCTTAACATTTTCTCCAGTTCTTCCTTTATGGGCTGTCGCCTGTGATAAGGAATCCTGCGCCACCTTTCTCTGGCTATTTGCCCCTCCTTGGTGATAATCTTATGTTCGATTCCAGCCACCTTCCCAGGCTGTTCGGTGAAAACGTCATCAAACTCCCTTAATAACTTCTTTAACTGCGCGAGCTGATTACTTTGCAGCTGCTTCCCCACTGATACCTGCTCTCGGGGTGGGTCCCTCTCCTTATAGCTACTAGTTAGTGCTCCTGGTTTGGCCATCTCAGGGTCCTGTGATATTAGCAGGCCCTCTGGCTCATGCCATTCTTTCAAAAGATTGATGTGGTATATTTGTCGTTCTTTCTTAGCGCCTGTGCGTAATACCTCATAGTCCACAGGACCTGCCTGCTTGGTGATGATAAAAGGTCCTTGCCAGCTTGCTGCGAACTTGCTGGTTGCACTGGGCAGTAACACCAACACTTTTTGTCCCACCCTCAGCTCCCTAGTTTGGGCCTGACTATCGTACCTTTCTTTCTGCTTGTCCTGTGCATGTTCTAAATTAGCCTGGGCCACTTCGTTCACTGCCCACAGACGTTCCCGTAACTCCTGTACATGGATTGGGGTTCCCCTTCCCGGGTCTGGTTTGGCCTCCCACCCTTCCTTTACTATGTCTAGTAGGCCTCAAGGCCTGTGCCCAAACGACAGTTCGAACGGTGAATACCCTAGTGAGGATTGAGAAGCATCTCTGACTGCAAATAATAGGGGCGGCACCATTAAATTCCATTTTCTGGGTTCAGCCTGGGTGCACCGCCACAGCATACCCTTTAACGTCCCATTGAAACGCTCCACCAGGCCATTGGTCTGAGGGTGATACACCGTGGTTTTTAGGTGGTGCGCCTGCAATACCTTGTACAAGGCTCCCAACACCGACAACATAAAATTAGTTCCCTGGTCCGTTAT